CTGTTTCATCAGCCTGTTTCATCAGCCTTGATGCTGCATGACTTAGCATTGGCCAAATGCTTAGTCATCATCACTGCTGCTATTCACCACATTGTGCATTTTCACTGGAACATTATTCCAACATTCCATGGCTGAGTGAGGATCCAAACTCTAGTCTCCAACCACTACACTACACTGGCTCCATAGTGAAAAACAATATAAGTGAGTGGGTTTTCCCCCCTCAGAAATCTGAGCAGCTTTCTATGTGTAATGACAAGAGCATAAATGTAGTTTGTTATTGAAAAGTTTCATAGTTTCTCAAACTCTTTGCAGAGTTATCAAAAAGTGTGTCATTTTTCTTCTGCCAGGATTAAAAAGAAACAAAAAAATATTTTAAAGTTGGGATGGGGGTCTTTGATGTGCTACTTTTACTCCCACATGTTTTACCCAAGGGAATGGGAACTCTAAATTTAACCCCTGCTCAGAAATTGACAATTTTCTGTATCATTTCTAACCAACATCAGTAGAGGAGACTTTAGTCTCATTAGCTGGGGGTGGGGTTACTAGAATCCCAAGATCCACCAAGTGAGTCAAGTACAAAAAAAAAACCATACACATAGAACTAAAAAATAGATCATACACTAAAAATCCCGCACCTCACTTTTAATTTAGCAGACTGATTGGATTTGTTGCCACCACTGTTTCATTTATTTTCTTTGTATAACATCCAACTGGCAAGACCCTTCAAAAAACCAAATTATTTACATGATAGTAAAAATAAAACAACCCAGACAGAAATCTAGATGTTAAAATATGATGGTTAAGATATTACAAAGAAGTTAAAAGCAAGTAATAAAACTGAAATATTAACACCAACAATAAAATCAATGAATCCTGGGAAAGGAAGACCATAGCTTGGCATGGCGAAGTGAGCATGCCAGGTGGAATTTGTTTGGGAGAGCATTCTACAGATATGGCAACAACTGGAAGGTTCCTTCACACCATTGTGGGTGTGACACCCAGAGATAATTGGTGGGGACTGCTTTAGAAATTAAATGGGAACCCTTGGGAGCAGGTGCTCCTTCTTTTAGACTTAGGGTGCATCTACACACTAGATATAATGCAGCTCAACACTATTTTAACTGCCATGGCTCCATCCTACAGAATCCTGGGATTTGTAATTGTGTGAGGCACCAGCACTCATTTTGCAGACAAGGATGAAGACTTTGTAAAATGCCAAATCCCAGAATTCCTGGGGTGGATTTACAATACTTAAAGTGGTATCAAACTACATTATTTCTGCAATGTAGATGAACCCTAAAGCTGACTCTACAGTGCAGAATTAATGCAGTTTGACACCACTTTAACTGCCATGGCTTAGTGCTATGGACTTCTGGGATTTGTACTTTTGTGAGCTAGTCTTCTCTGTCAGAGAGCTCTGGTGCCAAAAGAAATTATAAATCCCAGGATCCCATAAGATTCAGTTAAAGTGGTGTCAAACTGCATTAACTCTGCAGTGTAGTAACTCAGGGCTTTAAATATGAAATAAATCTACTGCAAATCATCCAGGAATCTGTCTGTAGAATCATAGAATCATAGAATCATAGAGTTGGAAGAGACC